CCCCCAAGCCAAGCTGAACGAGAGGCCCAAGAGAAAAGACGCAAGACGCTCATCATGCCAACACACCCGGCAGCGTCCTGCGACAACTACCTGGATGCCTTCAGAGAGTGAGATCTCCTGGATCAAGTCTTTGATGGCTTCCTGCTCCTCGGAAGACCTGCGTGGCACAAAGAAGATAACCTAAAAAATACCACACTTTATTCAATTGTCAAGCTTTGCGACATGTCGCAGCAAGTTGTCATGGAGTCATGGAAGTACTCTCCTGTCCATCATGGAAGAGGCGACCTCAGAAGCCAACTCATGATGGGAAAAGCAAGGGATGCATTTTCGTGAAAACCATGCTCATTCTGTGACGCGCAGGAAACCTTGGGAGGGGGGGGGGTGGGAGATGTCACCTGTGCATTCCGAACAAAAATGCTAGGATTGACATAGAGCCTCCTGATGGTGCACGGAAAGTTTCAAATATCCAGAGTCTGGCAAGGTTCCATGTTTGCGACAGAACATGGTTGGAGGATGTGCTATGTTAGTGCATGCTCTCCCAGCTTGCCTCAAGAAGTTCTACGTTTGCAATATGGTTTTCTTTCGGAGGCCCTTTTTTTGGACCAAAGTGGAACGGTGTAAACGGTAAACCATGCTTGACTTCATTCTTGAAAGTGAGCCTCACAAATGGCACCGCCCAGGACGAAGGCAGGCCGCTGGTGTCCTTGTAAGAACACATGTTGTTTTTCGTCAAGCAGCCGCAAAGGCTTGTCTTGAAACAAGTCACCCAAACACAGGGCCCAGCTCTGGAGCACAAGCAGAAGCATGCCTTCAGGTGTGTCTTGGGTACTGGTTACCAAGAAATACCTTGGTTGTGGGAAAAATGCATCCGTGCTGAAATGTGGCAGGCGTTTCTGCTTGAAGACCCGTTGACACAGGCGGAAACACACATTAGAATGCTAGCTCTATTTTTGCAAGCGCTTTTGTCTGCGCGTGTCTGTCAACCACCGTCATGAGCCGAGCATCATGATTCTGGAAACCAGTCCCATGGTCAATCCCATCAAAAGAAACAACGCAAACAGACAGCAACACCTTTGAGCACTGGCACCTGGTCCGTGCAAGAGGCGCCAGAGGCTTTGCGCCTCCCGAGGGGCCAGGGCCGACCTTGGCTGCGAGAACAACACAACATCTCCCTCACTCGCAATTGGCCACTATGCCTACCGTAAGCCAGGCCACCAAACTGATAACAATAGAGAAGCAATTGTACAAGTTGCAGGCAGTCACACACGCACACACACACGATGTGTGTGTGTGTGTGGTTGCATTGTGTGTGTGTGTGTGTTTGTGTTTCCGCTGTCAAGCTTCAAAGGTCACAATTGGTGATTGTGCCGGTTGGCAGCTCGTTAGGCCGGCTCAAAAACCCACTCCTTGCAGCTTTTTCTGCGGCATCTTTGATACGTCCGCAGTGAATGACATCGGAGATGCTCAAACACTTCTTGGCACATCCCAGTCCAAAACACTGCCGTAACTGTCACTCCAGGATTTGTTGGCCTGCGTTGGCCTAGACTTTTCAGGATTCGGACAAACTTGTTTCTCCACGCCCAAACATGCATGTTGACCCAGAAAAACGTCCAACACCTAGTTTCCCTATGCAAAACCTACGAACATCGCGCGTAGTTGCTGAAGCCATGCAGTCACTGGAGGGGCACCCAGTTTTGTCCAAGGCGCCCCGAGCGCCATCCGCACTCGCACGCTGCGCAGCCACCGGAGCAACGGCTCTGCCTCCACCTCTGCGGGCAGGCGCTGCTCCGACTCGGCGGCCTGGCTGCCATAGATGCCAAGACACGTTTTTTGTAGCTCGAATTCTTTTCTTAAACCCAACACCCCGGCAGCTAAAGTGGTTGCCGATGTGGCCAGCTTCAAGAAACCACATGTTTTGGGCATGGCTGCTTGTTCCCAACGGACATCAAGGTCCTTGTTTGGGCTTCTACTTCTCAGGGCCTGTGGCCCAAACAAGGACCCTGACCAAGTTGACAACAAGACAGAAGGAATCATCATCCTCTGTGGCTTCTTGATTCAACATTTTGAGTCACCCCCAACAGAACTGAAGCCCTTATTTTGGCCTAAACGGTTGGCAGGGTCCAGGCTGAAAAGGAATTGAATAATGCCCCCAATGTCCCCACCCCAACCGCGTTCTACATGGTCATAACCCCGCTGACTGTTGACCCACAAGGTGGAGGTGACCAGGGCGAGAGTTGCCCTGGGCAGAACCAACATATCGCAGCTCTCGTTGAGAAATCTCTCACAACCCTCTCACAAACTATGAGTGCATGTCTGTGGTCAAATCCTGCAGTCAGCTTCCCCACCCTGTCCAGCCCGCGCCTTGAGGTCGGTCGCCTATGGGCTGGGCATTTTTCTCGGCGACTTTGCTTTGGATGCCCAACCCTGTGCTTAAACAAGCAAGCTGTTCGCCCTTTTGAGGGGCAGGGACGTGTTGCAACCAACTTTGCCCAAGCGCAAAGTGAAAAACGTTGCCCAACCAGTCACACGGTCTGAGCTGTGCAAAAAAATCGCCCAACTCGGAGCCCTCACCCACTGACCCCTCGCTACCGCTGCACGCTGCATGCCGCCTGGGCACCAGCTGCGCCCGAAACAGCTCCGCCTGCTCCACCAGCTTCCGCGCCTCTGCCAGGCTGCTGGGCCTGAGGCAAGCTACATCATGGAGGGGGGGGCCAAAGAGGGTGGCTTCCTCGAAAAGAAGAAAGCAAACAAACAAGCAAACAAGCAACAACAAAATCACAAATACAATATATATATATATATATATTTCTTTATTTACTTTTTTATATTATACTTCATAATATATAATATATTATGTTATATCATATTATATTATATTATAGGCTCGGCCTCTGCAAGCGCAGCTGCAGCACAGCTTGCCGCTCCTTGCCAGTGAGTGCCACTGCAGGGGAGCCTTCAGGGATCACGCAAAGCAGGACACATGTCCATACAGGCCTTGCAGAAGCATTCATCCGGGTTTCAGTTCAATCCCAATGATGAGGCAAACAAGCACCGGGTCAGTCATGCGTGAGAATGAATGAGGCCTACCACCATCTTCTTAATCTCTGCAATTTCTTGTGACTGCATGTTGACTGCGTTCTGGATGTGAGAAGGAGCAGGTTGTGACGTCTGAGGTCCGCCCAACTTTGCTTGTGAGTGGAAGTGGCAACGAATCCTGCTCGCCAACTTGCCACCTTCCAGCAAGGAACAGAACGACGCACGTGCCGAGGCAAGCATGAAAAATCATTTTTCCGCTTTTTGCAGGCCTCCTTGCAGAATCCGGTCAAGTTCCAGCATCTTGTGATTCGCATGGTAGAGCCTTGCCCGCAAGCCGCCCAATTGAGCATTGTTTTTGTTAGAGGTTCAGGTCCTATACACTGCTGGGGAGGCTACGCGGGGGGCTTCGCGAGGCCAGAATTTGTGGAAGGGGTGGCTTCGCGAGGCTTCGCGGCAAGACTGTGGCTTCGCGGAGTGGCTTCTGCGAAAGGGGGCGATGAAAGGCGGCAAGAGAGGCATTGAGCTTCAGGACTAGGGGATATGGCTGGGCCTCAAAGGGGCGGAGCATGGAAGTTGGGCCGCGGTGGCTTCGCGGTGGCTTCGCGGAGGCTTTGCGGGGGCTTCGCGGGGGCTTCGCAACGGCTTCGCGAAAACGTTCCATCGTTTCTAGCAAAACTGGGCCTGAAACGCACAGAGCTCTTCCGGTCATCTTTTCGTAATCTTCCTGTAATCTTGTCGTAGCTTGCTGACTCTAAACATCAACCTTAAAAGCACGCAACACGCTCAAACCACGAAGTGGTTTCGCCTGTGTCAATGTTACCGGGCTACGCGAAGCGCCTTCGCGGGGCTTCGCGGTACACAATGCATCACACAAGTGCCTTCGCGGACCTTTTGGGAGTTCCCCACGAAGCTAAAATCCATCATCTGAGAAAAACGCTGCTCAATTGGTGCAACCAGCGGCTGAAAAGAAATGACACAACCACAAAAGACAGTGCCACTCCTGCATGACTACACGTTCTGTTTCGACCCATGCAAGCTGAAATTATGTGGGATTTTGAGTCAGTCTTCCAAGCATGAGGTGGCCGCAAGTGGTTGGGAGAGCAACCCAGGTACCCCCTTCAATTTACTGCAACGCCTCTCCGGTCCAGCGCCGAGTGTCAATTTGGACAACTCCGAGGCCTTTTGCGGGTTCAAGCCATCACCTGGCGAGGCGGGCTTCAAGCGGCTCCGGGTCTTGTAGAAACTGGTGGGCCCAGTTTGCTGGTGTGAAATGGGCCCCGCTGGGCCAAATACATAGAAAAGGTTCTGGATCAATATCGAACGTCTCGCCTTTCCCATCTCTCGCTGCTAGTTCAAGTCCTGTCTTGCTTGTTGCGCCCCACCGCTCAATCCCCGCAACCGAGCCTTCCTCAACCTTCAGCAGGTCTTGGGCGCGGTACAGCCTCTCCGAGATGAAGCCCATGTATTGCTTTGCCTCGCAGGTCCGGAGATGCTGGTTGCCTGCGACTGGCAAAAAGAAAGCCCCACATTGTCCCTTTGCTCGCGTGTCAGCTGTGAAATGCTATGCTAGGCAGGCTGCGTGACCAGTTGGGCCCAGGTGAGGGGGCTGCTCAGCTTACATGTTCTATGGCGACCGCTGAAGTCCCTGAAAAAAGACTATGTCGTGCCACGGCGAGCTTGTTTCTTGTCGCTGGCAATTCCTTCTGCGAGCGTGGCACTTACACTTCCACTCCAAGGCAGGGAAAGGAAACCACCCATTTGGGGATTCCCTCATTTTGGAGACAAACCCATGTTTTGCAAGCCACCCATGGAGTCATCCTATGTTGAGACAGGTTGCTTGTGGGGAACTATGTGTTGGAAGAAAGGGAAGTCAGCAACGACCGGCTTCTCCCTTTTCAGGGCAAACCGTAGCCCAAATCCTTGCCATCTCCTGTGGTTTTCTTTGGTCCCCCCCCCGGCTTTTGGGGTGCGAGGGGCGCAGCGCAAGGTCAGGAAGCAGGTCCGGGCTTCCAGCAGCTCTTCCCAGGCCCAGCTGCGGTGAGCGGCCTTGCCGGAGAAAAGCAGCTCCACCTGGGCAGATTGGGGTCCGATTTGGGTGCTTTTCTTCTTGGAGGGGCACCCCCCCACCACACAAAAGCAACATATTGTAAGGGCGCTCAATTTTTGACACATGCCCATTTACTCCCCGCAGTTCAACATGAACAATCCCCCCACAAATGGAAGAACCTCCTTTTGGGGGACCATGTGGTTCCGTTCAATGGGCAGGCGGCTTGTCTCAATGCGGATTCTAGCTCACCATGGCAACCGTGCAGCTCCGTCTCATGACAAAAGCTCATGCTGGTTCGTTGAAGGACTGGCAAACGTGGGCCTACAATCTACTCACAGAATTTTTTCTCAAGGCTGGCATCAATCTACAGTCGATGCCATCAAACTACATCAAAATTAGATCGTATTGAACGCCTCTTGAGATCCAGTGAAAAACAAAGACGAATCCCAAACCCATTCGACCCTCGCGTCGAAGCGCGTTTTTGGGGTTGCCCTTGGCCAGGAGCGCCATGAAGGAGCCCAGCTCCCGGCCCGCGAACTCCACCACGCCCCGCTTGTCCGAGGCGAAGCCCTGGCCGGATCTGGATGCAGCCAGGGCCCAAACTGCGACCGAGCTGGGACCCCATCATTCCTAAGAGCTTTCAGTAAAAACCACGCAAAACGACTCGTGAGTGACAAAAGAAGGTGCTCAACAGTAGACGGATCAAGCGTCAACCCCAACAAAGGCAAATCATGAGTATTCGTCGTGTGTTGCCTTCAAACTTGTTTTACAGCTGTACAGCCTAGCCGGTGGAAAGATTCCACCGAATCAAGAACAACAAGGCATGACTCTCGCCGTTCATTGAAGCTAGTGAATAAGGGAGGGTCATTCATGGCCTTTGCAAAGTTTGCAGGCGAAACGCCCTCATCCTCACATTGACATCGCACATGCTTTCAGAAAGGACGCAATGGCTCATGTTGACACTCAGGAACCGCCAGTAAGACTTGCATGTGGCCTCTGCACTGCCAAGTGCAGCAAGTGTTGCTGCCAGCCCTTGTTGATTCTAGATGTATCTAGCAGTTGGGAAACATGCCACAAGCTTGCTACTCTGTGGCTGGTGCCCTCGCTCCCTTGCTCCCCTTTCTCTCGCTCTCTCTCTCTCTCTGTCTATCTCATTCGCTCTGTGCACAATCAGGCTGGAGGGACTCGCAAACAAAGCGTGGCAAGGCATCACGACAAAGGCCTGATTTTCACGCCGGGCTGGGCTGCGCTTTGACATCGCCGGCATTCGCCAGCAATGCCTCTCACGAGACCTTATCCCATGTTGGGTCAGTCTTGTGCACTCGAAAGGCCTACGGTGTGGCCAGGCTCCAACAAGCGATCCACTGCAAGCGTCATCTCGCGGACAAGCCCCGTGTGCTGCTGCACCAAACTCTGCATTTCTGTGACCGCCTCGTGGAGTTCCGTTTGCTCCCCCTCAATCCGGCCTTGCCATTCCCGGTATTTGTCTAAGCCTTGCGAGAAGGTGCTGTTCAGCTCCCCAGACATCTCACTGACCATCTTGTGAATCCAGGCCTTTGAGGTCTTGTCCTGGGCTGGAAAAAGAGAAACAAAAACTAGACCACGGTTGGCCCGAAAGCACAACATCGCAAGCGAGGTCGGCCCAACGCTGCAGGATGCGTTCTTTTTCCCTCCACGAAGCATTTGTGAAGCAAACGCGAGACAGCACCAGGCAAGGTGCTCTGCGCAAACTGGTCGGTGCAAGTTGGTCTGCGCAAGTTGCTCTACGCAAGTTGCACTGTGCAAGTTGCTCTGCGCAAGTTGCTCCGCGCAAGTTGCTCCGGCAAGTTGGTCCCTGCAAGTGGCTCCCTGCAAGTTGCTCTGTGCAAATTGCGCTCCCTGCAAGTTGCTCTGTGCAAGCTGCTCTGTGCAAGTTGCTCTGTGCAAGTTGCTCTGCGTAAGTTGCTCTGCGCAAGTTGCTCTAGGCAAGGCGCTCTGCGCAAACTGGTCGGTGCAAGTTGGTCTGCGCAAGTTGCTCTGCGCAACCTGCTCTGCACAAGTTGCTCTGCGCAAGTTGCTTTAAAATGCAAGTTGCATCTTGTGACGCCCGCCCGCGGACCAGGGAGGAATCGAACCCGCGACCCGCCGGTTCCGGGAGCAGGCGCGCGAACCACGAGACAACTCCCGAGGACCAGTTCGAACAACCAAAAGTCGCAAAAAACCTCGAGTTTTTGCACCTCGACCACGCCGATCCCCGCAGAGGGTTGCGCGAGCACCGCAGAAATCGCAAAAAACCTGGGTTTTTGCACCTCGACCACGCCGATCCCCGCAGAGGGTCGCGCGGGCACGCAGAAATCGCAAAAAACCATGGGTTTTTGCACCTCGACCACGCCGATCCCCGCAGAGGGTCGCGCGGGAACTTTAGAAATCGCAAAAAACCATGGGTTTTTGCACCTCGACCACGCCGATCCCCGCAGAGGGTCGCGCGGGAACTTTAGAAATCGCAAAAAACCATGGGTTTTTGCACCTCGACCACGCCGATCCCCGCAGAGGGTCGCGCGGGCACTTTAGAAATCGCAAAAAACCATGGGTTTTTGCACCTCGACCACGCCGATTGCACCTCGACCACGCCGATCCCCGCAGAGGGTCGATTTTCGTGTAGTGTCGTCGGCACTACCCCGCCGCCCTAAGAAGAGATTTTAACTCCTCGCAAGTCAATTGCACTTGACTCCTTGCACTTGCAACACACTTGACTCCTTGCACTTGCACTTGCAAACTCCATGCAACTGACTCCTTGCACTTGCAACTTGCACTTGACTCCATGCGCAGCTCGCAATGACTCTCATGACTCCTTGCAATGACTCCTTGCAATGACTCCTTGCAATGACTCCTTGCAATGACTCCTTGCAATGACTCCTTGCAATGACTCCTTGCAATGACTCCTTGCAATGACTCCTTGCAATGACTCCTTGCAATGACTCCTTGCAATGACTCCTTGCAATGACTCCTTGCAATGACTCCTTGCAATGACTCCTTGCAATGACTCCTTGCAATGAAGCAATGACTCCTTGCAATGACTCCTTGCAATGACTCCTTGCAATGACTCCTTGCAATGACTCCTTGCAATGACTCCTTGCAATGACTCCTTGCAATGACTCCTTGCAATGACTCCTTGCAATGACTCCTTGCAATGACTCCTTGCAATGACTCCTTGCAATGACTCCTTGCAATGACTCCTTGCAATGACTCCTTGCAATGACTCCTTGCAATGACTCCTTGCAATGACTCCTTGCAATGACTCCTTGCAATGACTCCTTGCAACTCCTTGCAATGACTCCTTGCAATGACTCCTTGCAATGACTCCTTGCAATGACTCCTTGCAATGACTCCTTGCAATGACTCCTTGCAATGACTCCTTGCAATGACTCCTTGCAATGACTCCTTGCAATGACTCCTTGCAATGACTCCTTGCAATGACTCCTTGCAATGACTCCTTGCAATGACTCCTTGCATGACTCCTTGCAATGACTCCTTGCAATGACTCCTTGCAATGACTCCTTGCAATGACTCCTTGCAATGACTCCTTGCATTGACTTTCATGATGATGATTCCTTGCAATGACACCTTGTAATGACTCTCATGAGAACAACTCAAGTGAACCCAGCGGAAGACCCCTTCGCCATGCTTTCGGGAAAACAAAAGATAACACTCACTGACTCGAAAAAGGCAGCACCCTGTCCTGAGACAAATGCTCTTCACCGAAATAAAAGTCGTAGGTCGCATCCCCGGAAGCTTGGAGCCTCTCAAAGTAGTCCAGCTCCCCTGCCACAGCCTCCACGTCGCGGCACACGTCCTCCATTCGCTGCTGGAAGTCTTCGAGGTTCTTCTGCATCTCTCGTCGTTGCCCCTCCTCCGTCAAGTGCCCTATCTCCACCTCAGAGGGCACATGGATCTAGGTGGTTGACAAGCTTTGTGGGCCATGAAGCAGGGACAGCTAGCACCCAACATCCAAACAGCAACTCAGTCGTCTGGCCATGCCACGCGCTCTTGTCGTTCCAGAGCGTGCGATAAAGTTCGCAGGGCCTGGTTGAAGGGCATCTTCGGCACGGTGTTCATCAAGGAGTCCGGAGTAATCAAGGTGCGATTCACCTCGATTCCCGCCGGAAGCGCAAGGACGTGTAAAATCCTAGTGGATCCAAGCGAAATGGCAGCCTTACATCAGCTGCAGCTGAGAGCAGCCAAAGCCAATTGGCAAAGTCAGCTTGGCAATAAGTGAGCAAACCCACCGGCTTAAACCGGACACCACACGCATGCACGTACACACAGATGACATGCGCCCGAAATACCGCTAAGAGGCAAGAGGCAAGCAAGCAATCAAGCAACCAAGCAAGGAAGCAGGCAGGCAGGGGGGGGGCAACGTTCCATGCCTTGAAAAACACCAAGGCAATTTTCACAAAGGTCCGGGGCCCCCGGCCATCATGCCCTTGATGTCGCCTTTCGCCTCCTTCCGGAAAGCTTCGAAGACGTCCCGCAGGTTCACTCGCTCTCCGCGTCGGCGCTGCCGGCGTCGTCGCAACGCCTCCGAGGCCTGAGGGTGGAAGCCCATGGAGACTCAATGGACGCTGCTAGGGCGCAACCTCAAGAAACCTGCGCGATACCCCTCAAGTTCCCTGGTGTGAGGAAGATGCAACTCCACGTGTTTCAAGGGGTGCAAAGACTGAACTATGTTTGATTTTAGACTTTCAATACAAACAACTGGAACAAAGCCGAAGGAAGGGCTTGCCCTACGTGAGCGCGCGTGGGCGTGCGCGCGTGTGCGCGCCCCCTCTCTCTCTCTCTCTCTGCGGCGTGTGTATGCGGGTGCAGTATTTATCGGCATCTCGCATCTGTGCTTGTGTCTGTGTCTGTGCACCGTGTCTGTGAGCGTGCGTGTTTGTTTTTCAGCCCCTCCGTTTCACCGCTTCACAGCCCCGCCCCCGCCTGGTGCACAAGGGTCTTGTAGTCTGAGGCCTGCCGCGCACCACTGTCGGGTGCTGGGGGGCCTTCCTGGAGGTGTGCAACCTACAAGGTGCCGTCTGCATTACACTATGGTATTTCGTGATGATGCCTGCCTGACCCAACATACTGTCAAGCACGTTATGCGAAGTGAAGTAGGCCCTTGCTTAGCACCTGGTTGTAGCAGGAACATTACATTGCTCTTGGGTAACCCGTCCGCCTTCCTTGTTGTTGAAGCAAGGCTTTAATGATGGCCAGTTCTCACTTCCGCGCACCTCCGAATGGCATCTGCGAATGGCGGGTTTCTCTTGGCTTCCTTGCGCGCATCCAAAGGGCTCCCAAGTCCTAGATCCCTAGCCTTGGAGGTCAGCTTGCCAATCCACAAAGCGCATGCTCGCCAGACCAAGCGATAAGGCTTTCTGCAGCGCTGTCGCCCCCTACTCTTCTCGAGGCGTTTGGGTCTCAGGTCTCTGCCAAGATCCAGCTGGATTCCCCACTACTTCGCTTGAAGATAGGAGGCTCAAAGGAGACCCTGGTGGGAATAGCACACGGACATTGCACGCCTTTGGAGGACAAACGGAGGGAGCACTTGCCATGGGCACCCCACACCCTTGGCCTTCTCCTTCTCATATGCGTAAGCCTGAGCTGCAAGGAGCACAAGCAAAGCACTCCCACACCTGTACAATCTGTCGCGCTTTCAATGACCGCCAGCTAGGAACTGATGGCCAGCCGAGGAGCATCAAGGATGATGGCAAGGACCATCTTGAGGGCCACAAAGGACAAGATGATGCAGAAAATCCACAGCCAAATTGCGGACCTGAAGTAGCCTATCTCCTTGGCGGTTCCCCAATCCCAGTGGCCTAGCACTGCCAGGCAAGAGGAGCGGAAGGCATGCTCTGGAGTGCTGAACTCTTCCAGGTCCTGGCCAAAGAAGAGGATGCTACTCACCTGGGAGATCAAATCTTTGGACTCCCCCAAGTGGATGACAAGCCGTGAAGCCATCAACAGCATCCGGAGACCACTCTGACATCTCCAATGGAGCAACCCAGCCCTCACTCACCCACCTAACAATCGACGCTATGTGTGAGGAGCCATCTGGAACAGTACATTCCTGCTAAAGGGTCTTTCCGTCAGGTTTCATATTTGCTCGTGGGTGGGAGGGCGGTCCTCTCTTAACTATCCTCGTGTTGCGAGGCTCGACCTGAAGTCGCCCATGCAGAGGTGTGCGCGCTTCCCCTTTTCCGAACTCGTATATTTCCGGAGTGAGGCTAAGCAGCGGACGAAAAGGCAGCCAAAGACACAAACAATGACCAGGGAGAAGTGCATCCTTGGCAAACTTGGACTCTGCCACTCGCTTGTTCAAGCAGATTGGTCCACTTCTGTTGAATATACTTCCTCCCAAACTGAAACTGGAGAGGCAGCCAAGAAAAGAAAATGCAGTCTGTTTAGTCTGCTTCTTTCAACGTCTTGCTGCCCAGCTTGAGTCGCGTGGCATGGCTTGCAAAAGTCTCAATGGCCTGACATATTCTTGGGATTCATCATGAGCGTCGCTTGCTGCAAAGAAAGCGTGACCTCCAATGTCCTTCCCTCGTTTGCCACGAGTATGGGATGCTTCCGACAGCTCCGGTTCACAATCGAAGCCCGTTTTCTGACCCTCGCTCCAAGCGCAGGCCACGCGTCAGGTCGGGCACCGCCGTCTTGATGGTGGCCGTGACGATGGCCAGCCTGGGCTGCGCCTGGAAGGACTTGAAGAGCCGCAGCATCACCACAATCCTCGCTTGCCATGCAACCTTCTTGGTAAAACGGAAAAGCAGACTTCAAGTCTCTGTCTCTCTCTCTCTCGCTCTTTCTCTTTCTCTTTCTCTTTCCTTCTTGGGCGCTGAACTTGACCCAACTTCCCAGATCGGAAAGCCAAAACAAAAACAACCTTCGAGCTAACTTCAGCCAGGCAGGCGGGTACAAAGTCAGTGTCACGGTGCCCACAGAAGTGGTCATGATCAGGTTTTCCACTGCAGCCAGCAAATTCTCCACCGAGGCCTTGCGAAAGCCGCTTCAGCGACAGGTCTCGCCACAACTTGAGCCACACAATTGATGTTGACCTCTAATAATTGGGACAAATGCAGGGAAAACCGCAAAGAAGGAATATCCGCGGGCACGTGCTAGCTGCGAGTGCTAGCTTGGACCAAGACGAACTTGGTGCCTGAGCCCGAACTACGTTTGGCATTCAAGAATCCAATTCGGAGTTCAAGGCTATTCTGCTCCTTCGCCATTTGGCGGACTCCAAGCATGTCGGAAACTGTGCCGCTTTCCTTTGTGACCGAATCCAATCGGGGGGCGGGTTAAGCGAATCAACATGCCCAAATTGATGAACCAACAGGCCCAACATGAGGCACACCCTCTGGACGGGATGCATGTGTCTCATCAAAGCTCCTGCCTGGTACATCCACCGGCTTTCGGGGTCACTCCCCGACTCCAGGCTGCCCCTGACCACGTCCGGAAGGAGGATGTTAACATTGTGGGCCTCAGCGAGGCCCGCTGGAAGTGGCGGAAGAAACTTCGGAGCTTCGGCAGTAATTTAGCTAAACTTGTGAAAGCCCTGGATGGACGCTTGAAACAAGCGTCTAGATGTAGAACTTTGCTCATCCAATGCAACTGCAGGTCGGAAACCGGTTCCTGTTTGGCCACACCCAGGGCAATTTGGGAATGGAACAAGTCATTTGGTCTTGCCACCCTGTTCACGCCTAGCTCCCCAAAACCTGAAGCAAGGACAATCATCTCTACCATGTTGTGTCATTCGCCGAAGTTGCAACAACAAACGCTAGTCATCCCGATGCAGAAACCTGAGACTCAATCTGAAGCTGGCTGGAAAGATGTCCTGTTTAGCGACGGTCAATACGCCTAAAAATGGGTGATGGCTATGCTTCCAAACTTAGACTTGTCAGGGTCTTTTGAGATCCATTTCTCTCTGTACATTTGAGGATCTTTTAAGCTTTTTGTGTGGCCCTTTGGCCACTGGGCCCAAAAAACCCTGGCAGAAAAGGACCTGATGTGCTTGAAGGAAATCCACCTTGGCGGTTACTGCATAGATTTCAAGGGGTCCCTCCTGATTATTTGATGGCCATGATCAGCTGAGCGGGTGGGAAAGCCAGCGAAGCTCGGAAAAAGACTATGCGCAAGTCGAAGTGTGGCGAAACTTTGCGAGCTTTGAAAAGCGGCGAGTGGAGAGAAAGAGGTTGGCGGAATGGTCTTTCTACAAGCACCTTGGTGGGTCTCCATGTTTGTTGCGCGGGGGAGACGGTTTGTAAGCCGGTAAGAGGACTGTTCTCCACTTCCCGAGTCAATCAAGGTTGTGCAGAGAACTTCAACATGTTCAGCTCACGAACAGATCCATGCTGCATCATGCTGGCATTATTGCACCATTGAAGTTGCATCTAAGTGTTCAGGAGCTCAACGATGCACAAACCTCCCGCTTGTTTCCCCATGGCTCCGTCCGGCCTGCAGGGCCATACGGAGCCAAAAGCCGCCAGCTAGAGCCCCCGAGGCGATGGCGGCCCAATCCACGATGTTCCAAAAGCCGAAGTAGTCGTGGATCACAGCCTGACCCGCGCAGTTTGAGCGCAATAGTGCATAAGCCTCCACACATACATAGTATTAATGGTTAGCATGAACACACAGATCATGATCGTACATGTATATCTCTATGACACCCTTTCCTTGCAGTACCACACGATGCCAGTCTGTTTGTTTGTGTGTGTGTGTGCACGCCTGTGTTTCCTTTCTTTCACCCCCTTGAACCCAATGGCCGTCTTTGGTCCTGCCTGGAAGAAAGGCAATCGCGAAGTCCGCACCGTGCGAAAGACATCCTTGATCTCCAACACCAACATGCTGAGGAGGAGGCTCCCCCAAATGGCCCCTGCGACAAGGATAGGCACAAGCCTGTCAGCAGGCAGGTCGAAGGGGTCAGATGGGGAAGAGATTTCGTGCATCAATTTGTGCATATGGCCGGCACGGTTCAGGAAGAAGTTGATGGACACATAGGTGTAGACACCATACTGGGCGTTGTAAATGACAAAGCTCACTTCCACGCGAACTGTGCGCTCATCAAACCAGGGTTGGCGAGGATTCTGGGCTCTGCACCATTCGCAGCGGCAAGCAGACATATTCCCCATGGAATGTGCGTAGTTGCAGCCATCCTCCATGTCACGGAGTTGCTGCTGCAACTGTTCAAAGCTGTCCAGGTCTGGAAAGAGATGCTCAACTTTCGAAAAACCAGCGAAGTCCTCCGCGTCCGGCGCCTCCGGGGCCAGTAATTACTTGCCAGTTGGTGCAATGGCTTGTCTGGAACGTGCTTGGCTGATTCGACTCTGGCGCGAATAAGCATGGAAGGACCCCAAATGAATCAAGCTAGAAAAAACTGAACAAGGCCCTGCGCCTGGGGCGTCTGGCCTGCAAAGTTGCTTGGCACACAGGGCTTTTGGAGCCACGCAGTGAATTGATCCGCGTCGATCAGGGAGGGCGTGGTGCAGGGCCCGGTGCCTGCCACCACCTGCCGCAGCCGAATTCCGCCAAGCAGCTTCGCGTACCTGGCTGATTTGTCGAACCAAAACGGCAGAAACTATGTTATGTCGAACCAATCCCGCAACTGGGAGATTCTATGTCAGCCGTTGGGGCACAAAAACCAAAGGGCCCGCCTCAGGTAGTCGTTCTGCACCGGCGCGGGAGAGAGGTAGCCCTGGAAAAGCCACTGGGAGGGCAAAGTGCCATTGACTGCCTCGCTGTAGGTCCAGCTGGGCTGCACCATGAGGGGCAGCAGGCCCAACCTCATCCAGGACCAGAACTGGGCGATGGAGTCTACCTGACAGGGTCCAATAGGACCGCTTGCCCCTGCCCTTTACGTGGGTACGCCCCCTTCACCTTTACTTTGGCTGAGTGGAGCTCACTTTGCTTCGCAAAGCGCCCAATGCCCACCGACCTGCTCGAAGTTTTTGTGCCCAAAGTGCCCGCTCCAGGCGAAGGTGGCACTCTGCCTCACGTTGTTCTGAATGGCGTCCTGCAGCGCGAAGTAGGTGTCCCGCTGCAGGAGCCCTCAGGCATCCCCCTCCATGAAAACGTGCTATTGGAGCCCAAAGACTTGGTTGCTGTTGACCCCCCTGCAAACAGTTTAACTTTTTGGGGGGTTTAGTGGCAAACCGCTTGATTTTCCAAAAAGTTAAAGTCTAAAGATCCAACCCAATAGCAGTTCAGAAGAGCGCGTGGAATGATTCGGGTGTCCCAGACAGCACTTGCATCTCCTGCCTAAGACAAGCACCGCGAAGGAGACCACCAGCATGATGGTCCAGGGCAACTCCAGGAAGTTGCTCTCCGTGAGGATTTCCTCCTCTCCGCGAATGGTTTGGCAGTTTCGAGCATTTGAGCCTGCGGAAGGGGCATCATGACTGGTCATGCGACGCGTGCTGCCAAACCCACATCCAAAGTCGCATAAGCAAGCACCGGCTCGACAGTTTGCAGGAGAGAAACTTTACAGAAAGCTTGCGAAAGTAAAGACAGGTTCCGATGATTCCTCACATGACAAAAAGGAAGGCACGGCCATGATAACTGTGTGGGGTGACTCTAACGTAGCTCTAGGATGCTACATATATAATCGTCCTTTGGTGCAAGCTGAAACCCGTTTAGGTTCTCTGAGCAGAATGTCCTTGATGTATTCGAGGTAGACGTTCTGGGGTACCCCGATCACGGTGGCCGTCTCAGCATGTGTGGCCACCTTGAGGCTGTTGATTCGGTCCACCGCTTTCTTGACCGCGGCATCCTCCGGCCGGGTATGTGTCATAGGGAGAGTCCAAGTGTTTTTGTTTTTGCTTCCCTTTGAGCCAGCCTGAAAAGGGTACCCTCAAAACAACAGAACCACACCTCAAGGAAATGAACCATTGGCGCCGGCCGTGTGGCTGTGGCGCTTTGCAAACAAACACTCCCAGCTATGCCGAGCAAGGGAATAACTGTAGCCTTGATCAGCCTGGTGGCTTGCCTTTGTCCTCGGATTTTCCTGGCTCTCGGAGACTCTTTCCACAACCTTCCAAACTGCCATTTCCAAGCGGCCGTGGAGAAACCACAGCTCCCAATTCAATCATCATAAGCATCCAAACCAACAACTCTTCAACAAAGACGGGGTCAGCCCAAAGGTAAATTCTATGGAACATCTGCTGAATTGCGATTGCAACTGAGCAGGGTTCTTTGCCTTGCCTCCAAGAGAACATGCTGATTACAACAGGCCTACACGCCCACGCGACGACCCCAAAATAGCAGCCGACTCCCACCAGTGAACAACACAAAACTTGCCTCCAGGCCAAAGCTGACACCAAACCTGACACAAAACCACTCCAAGGTCCTTCTTGATGTGCTTGTCCTCCCCATCCACGTCCAGCGCCCCCGTCGAGTCCCCGGTGCTTCGCAGCCCCTGCCGCACAAAGCCCCCTGAGCCCTCCAGCACGCGGTGCACCACGGGGGTGACGTGGCGCATGGCGTGGGCTCCATGCGGAGGGCTTCGGAGTCGAGGGGGCGATCGCGCGTGTTTGCGCGTTTTGTGTTTCTTTTTTGTTTCATTCATGTTTGTTGACGTGGGAGCTGTTTGTGTTCTTTTCTCCGTCCGGGTGCCGCCAAAGAGAGAGAACTGGAGATTGAATCAAAGCTGGATGCTTGAAAGGTAGGCTCCGCGGCAAAGAACTATAGAAGGGGAATGTATGGGAACCGCGCTGGCCCTGAACATGGAGTTGACCTGCTTCTGCCCTAGCCAACACCAAACAATTGAGAAGCCAGGCATGGATTGTTCTTGACCAAAATCATTGTTTTCGTAGGCTCAGAAGACGGGACCCTCAAATGGCTTGCAAGGCATGTGGTCTGGAGGTACCCGGGCAAATCAGCCTGGCCTGTAGGACAGCTGCAGCGGAAATTCGGCGGTGTGAGTGCTCATGCTATTCACCTCCTGACCGCTGGACCAAAAAAACACTAAGCCCTGACAAAGGATGTGAATAACCAGTATCCCCAAAACTTAACTTGGCATCTATTTGTTAGTTGTGGAAACGCTCGCGCAATAAATCCCAGTTTGCTGTGTGGAGGAAGCTGACATCGGTCGTCATTTTTAATGGCAGTCACCATGGATGAACAAATTGATCAGCTTTCAATCTACGTGAATGGGCCTTGTCACCGGGCAAGCGTGTAGGCCACCATCTCTCTGATTTCACTCAGGTAGTGTAGGCATCCGTCGAACAAGTCGGCGCTTCTGTCAATAGTTGAAAAGTTGCAAACACTCAAGAGGACCAAACAGCGAAAACAACAGCTGCAGAGCTTCCGCTCACACACGGGTGAAATGATGTCCACCTGCAAGCGCAGCTTGCACGTGCGCGCAGATCGTGCCTGATTCACGTGCCTGGAGAACTCTTCGGGCGGAGGGCTGGGGCTCAGCCTCAGTGATTGATCCGTGTGGTTATCGATTCAGCCATGGCAGTTGACCGGGACAGCCTGGACTAATTGGCCAATTGCGTTCCACACATTCCTAACACAAACCCTCCCCTTTCCCTCTGATACCCCCCCAATGGAGAACAGGAGGTGTTTGGCTGCGTTTGGGAAGCCCCCAGGTTGACAGCAAACATACTTCCAGGATCGCAGGTGGAGCAGAACCAGACAACTCATTTGCTGCCATGTCAGCGTTTTTCTTACTCGATGGCTTGGCAGGAGCTTCCATGCCAGCAAGATTGCCAAGCGGCAAGGCTTCAGGCAGTGCCTGGTACACGAGCGTGAAATCCATGTCGCTGGTTTCGACCTGCAGGTCGTACATGAAGCTGCCTGAGTTGCTGCGGCGCCTGACCCCTGGCTCAAACTCAAAGCAGGCATGAAACATTTGCGACCCCGAACGCTATGAAAGGAATGAACTTGCGGAGGTCCGAGCGACTGGCGCGCTTGTGAGATTGCTCATTACGCAGCCTGGGCACCACTTTGGGCCAAAAAGACCAACTCCGCGCGATCTGGGATCAAACTCTCCTTGGGCGCGATCTGGGGATCAGCCAGCAAGCAGGCATCAAATCTCAGATCTGCATGCACCGAGCAGGAGATATGGGAGAACCGCTGCCGTCACACACACAGCTCTCTAATTCACAGCTAGAACTTCACACTTTGCTTTCCCACTTCGCACATGCTTTCTAAATCATCATCCCTTGATATGCAGCGAGTGCTCAACTTCCCTCATCCTACCCCCACCGAGTCAGACTCTAACAGCCAAGCTTCCGGGTAGAGAGGTCCAGTACACAAGTGCGCCGCTAATTTTTCATTTTGTTCGGACGGCCTCCAACTCAAATTCACACGCCAATTGAACGGCAACTCTTTGCCTACCCCTCGCAAGCACTAAACAATGGGTCCAACAATCAACATCTAACCGTAGCCAGGTCTAAACGCAAACCAGCGAGGTGAGGGACAGAAAACGAGCGACTGGCAAAGCACGTGTCAAGAGATAATTGATCTCCCTGTTCGGGCTTTGATCAGAGTGCGCCTTCCAGAATGTGCAGCAATTTGGCTGCGGTAGCGCACTTTGATGACGATAAGCCTAAACCAGCCTCTTGACTGAAGGTGTCCTCACAATGTTACTTTAGCCCTTGGCTTCATGCTGCACCTTTGGTTTTGCTGGGTGGTGCGTTGCAGAAATCGCTGTGTTGAAGGCCCCATGTCGTGGGGTCTTGGTTCCTTGTGCAACCCCCTCTCCATCAGCCATGTATACTAGTTTTCTTGGCCGCATTGTCAAACCTGCCCACTCTATCAGCTTGATAGGTCGGGAGGGGGGGTGCTGAACGTTAGAGAAAATAACGGTACAGCTATGAAGAATGAACACGAACAAACATCATGCAGTGTTCGATCTCTTTCCAAAATCAGTATCAGCATGTAAACAAATCGGCCAACGCCTGTAGCACCCGAGGCTCCACTTGTTCCATGGCTTTCGCTGACTCCTGTCGGCAAGCATCAAGCCTTGGGAGACTCGCTGACCAAGGTTCTGCGCGATTGGTCTGCAAAAGCCCACGTTGTAGGCACCGTGTTGTCGGTGCGATGTGGATGTGTTGGGGATGAGCGGGGGCTGCTTGCAAGGCTTTCAAAAGCAAGACACGATTCCCTAAGAGCTACATGTAACAGGTCCTGCCGTGCAATGTTTTTCCACCAGTAGTGGTTCGGAAGCACCCTGGAAGGCGCTAAAATGGCAAGTGGGCAGGCACCTTGGGCAATCTTGCATGTGCGCAGACAATCCTCGTCGAGCTTGGGCGATGGGCTGCAGCTGCCCTGCGATCTGTTCCGGCACCGCCTAGAGGCGGCAGTTCCCATATGAGAATTCCATGAGGGAATCAACAGTGTACGGCAGTTGGGCACTTCTGTGCATGAGTGCAGAATCCACTCTGCGACTACCGACAGCTTTGGTTCTGACATGGGCTGACTGCGCTGCCAAGGCTCTGTTGCCACTCTTGCAGAGCCTTCTGGTCATCCGCGATGTCGTGCAAACTCTCTCGAAAAATCACCTCCATGGCAAAAACATGTTGCTTGCAAGACAGCACACTTGGGCCGCTCCGCACGCCAAGCCGGGCCAAGCTCTTGGACGCTGATGGGCCGCCAGAACTTGTGAACAACGCTGCTTGCTTCACCACAACCTCCGCAATTCATGTTTAGGCCAGGGGGTAAAACTAAATGGGAAGGAAGCCACACGGACGCCCCCGGACACCCGGCCGGGGCGCGTAGTCCTCCTGGCGCAGCTTGTGGCACCACTGGTCCAAAGACGTCCTCACAGCAGCAGGCAACGGCGGAGCCGCATCCGCCGCCTGCAGCTCGGACAGGCTACTGGATGGGGCAGCGGGTGTGGATGGGGTTGTCCATTGGAGGTGGTGGTAGGGGGTCAGCAATCTTTGCCGCAAACCTGTTTAACCGCTTAGCCCAGAGCACGCTCTCCAAGCGCCATTCGTGCCGCTTCCTGTGCTGAAAGCTCCAAAAACCCACCACTCTTCCTGCCTACTGTTTTACTCTTCTTTGCCTGGCCTGGCACGACCCGTCTTGACACATCTCGCCTCTGCGTCTGCATCTGTGCAACTACACATGAGGGATTGGTAAGCAGGATCATGCGCTTCTCAGCTCACCTGTTCCAAAGGAATCAAACCCAAAATCGGCTGCGGCTTGCATGCGAGGTGCTGGGCCCAGCTGCTGCAAAAGCAGCTTCCAGGGTGCCGCGGACCTATCCCATAGCCCATGGATCGAAACGGAATTTGCAGGTTTTTCAAACCTCCGCCGGATTTTCATAGTGGTCTTGGAGATGAATCCCTTCTGACAGGCCTGGCCACCATTTTGCCCCACCCTGCTCGTTATAAGCTCCGGCCAGAATGCCAGGGGTGCGCCCCCCGGCGAATCAGGGCAATCGAAGTGCCCAACTCATGTGAGTGCTGTCATCAAGCATGCACGCGTGAGATTGCCATCTGCTGGCAAAGATGCGCCGTGGCACCCCAAACTATGCGAGGCTGCATTATGTTGACATTCCATGCAGGGCCTGAGCCACTACCAGCAAGCCACAAGGCATTCTTCCTTCTGTCCACTAGGTCAATTCTCAGGTCTCACTTGAGTTTTGGCTGTCGCTGGCAATGACGGGCTGCATTGCCTCACATTTTCACGTGGCGACCCAACAACATAAAGGATTGCTATGGGCAAGTGAGCATGACGCAAGTCAAAGAGATCAGCCACGCTGCCAAAGGCCCTTTCATCCTCTGGATTTAGAAGGTTTGGGCATGTGTCAAAATAGCCCCTCCCCCCCAAAATAAAAAAAAGGAAAAAAAAAGAAAAAGAAAGATAAGTTTTTTGGATTCCTTCTGGTAACCCTTTGAAACAGCCTGAAAAGAGTTCCCTCAAACGCCCAACTCACCAACACACACACACACACACATCCATATAAAGCATGCTCTTGGTGCTCAAATGATGCCGAGTGGCAGCTCGCCTTGCTCCGCCAAGCTGTCAAACTGCGTGACAAGCTCAGCCTTGTCCTTTTACAATCAGGCTTCCCATCTTTCACTGAAGCTTCACTCCACTCAACTTAAGCTGACTGAAAATCGCCAAACCTAGCGATGCTCAAACCATTTCCAGGGTACGTAGCGGATCCCTGAGCGCGCTCGGGCAAGCACCCCCCATGAACAAAGTAGGAACTGGGGAGGAGAGGGCTGTCGCAATGCTGGCTGGGTGAAACCTACCAAAACAAGCTCAAGGGTGGAGCCTTGGATGGCCAACGCAATAAAAACCTACTCCATTCATCTCTGTATCCCTGTCCTCGCCCATGGCCTTGGCGGCTCGCACGGCCAACTGGTGCACAATCCTGATTTGACATTTGGAACAGCTGGTCTGTTGGGGTGGAGCAGCTGGCGCAGCAGGTTATGTGGGCTGGCAGGCAGGCTAGTGAGCTGGATGGTGGGGAGTGGGTTGGCCGACTCCCAAAGTTGACGGAAGTTGCCAGACAATGGGACAGCTATGATATACTGACTTCGGCAACCTGCGGGTGCCAAATTCCCTTCCCTTCGGCGCACAATGGCAAGTTGTTCTTTTTGGGGGATTGTGCCCCTTGGACCAAGCCTACCGTATGATCCAAGGACCTCACGCAGCACACCGCCGGTGAGGGGATGGTTGTGTGCTGCTCATGTTCCCACATGCCGCGACGAGGCGCTGTATGGGAGCTGCCGCACTGGCTCCTGGCGCGCAGTCGGCTGAAGTTGAAGTTGGAAGTCGAAAGGTGGCCCGCACAGTTTTGTCAAGGTGGCAAAGCAAGCCTTCTTAGAGAGCTGCATGAAATGGTTTGCTCCTCAAACTGTCTCCGCCTCCCAACCTCCTTATGCCTGAAGGCTTTGCCTGAGAACAGCTGTGAGACGCCTTTCAAACTGCAGCTAAGAGAGAAGCAGAAGACAGAATCCAACAAGGGTCAACTGCGTTTGGACCAATGGCGCCCCATCCCCAGCCTTTGTCTTTGGGCCTCTTCTCCTTGTGCAGCAACGAAGTGGCTGCTCCAAGGCAAGCCTTGAGGTACGGTTTTGTGCCGCTCAGCATCGCATCTTGCGTTGCCTGTGGATGAACCGGGTGGAGTGCAAGAAAGTCATGCTATGCTGGCACCGGCACACAAAGATTCGGCCTATTGCTCAAACTGCAGAAGCACAAGCAACTGCACGTTGTTGACAATGCACTCAATGAGACAGACAGACAGACAGACAGACAGACAGACAGACAGACAGACAGACAGACAGACAGACAGACAGACAGACAGACAGACAGACAGACAGACAGACAGACAGACAGACAGACAGTCAGACAGACAGACAGACAGACAGACAGACAGACACACAGTCAGACAGACAGACAGACAGGCAGGCAGACCGGCAGACAAGCAGAGGGTGAGAGAGAGCGCGACGGAGAGAAAGAGAGACAGAGCAACCAGAGAGACAAAGACACAAAGGACAAACAAAAGCAAACAAAAACAAGGGCCAAGCTCTTGGACGCTCAACACATTTCGAACAGGTGTTGCAGGTTCTCACTCAGCCCGTGCCCACAATATGCGTGCATCAGTGTCATATTCGAGTGACAGTCGACCACCTGCTGCTACCAACATCGTAACATGCACCATGGGTTTCTCTATGTCGCGCGAAAAAGAAACATTCAAACCCGCCAAGATTCCTGGCAGAGCCTGCATGCCCCCCAAAACCACCGGAGGGGCACCCAAGCCAACAGAGCCACCGGTCTACCGGTCTGGCCTGTGCAATCGAGGCCTGCAGCTCCCACCAGCCCGGCGTAGCGTACAAGACGTCCGCCTGGTTCAGCTGGATCGCTTCGACGCAGGAGGGCAGCGCTTTCTGCAGCAGCCGTGCGAAGTCCAGGCAGTCGTGCCAATTCACCTAACCATGCGCACAATATGCATAAACAAACGCACATCTCTGTATGCATATGTAAACATATGGCTGTGGGTCAAAAATAGGTACCCCAAATGGAACCCTAGTAAGTAGAGACTTGGACCAAAGCCTGCGGTCCCCTGGTGGTTTAATTTTGGCTTACACCCATATGGGTTTGTCATACGAGTTGTGCGCAACCATTGATTTGTGTTGAGAAAACACCCATCACAGTCGACGCATGCCACGTAGGGATTAGTACATCGCGCTGCAAACAGCTGTCTTCGTTTTGGTCAGGCCCTAACTGCTAAACAGGTCTCTCCTGCTTCCAGATAGATATGCATCAGGGCATGGCATGGCACAATCGTCCCCTCATTGTGGTCATGACTAGCACCCGCCGACGAAGGCAGAAAAGAGCACAAACAACGACACGCAAGCTTGGCGCAGCACTGTTATCTCCACGGGGCCCTGCGCAGCTGAAGAGCGAGAGTGGCCACACACACAGACATGTTTGGGCTTGATGAATTCCATTTCGATAGCTTGGCCTCACTTCTGCGGATCCCATTGATGATTGAATAGCGTCTTGGCGATTAAAACTGAATACGAATCTCACTTGACAGCATCCTTGGGGGCTCGTCGTGTTGCTCCTGAACCATCCAAACAAACTGCTAGGGCCATCGGACATGCCTGCCATTGAAGACATGCTGAATAAGGCAAGCTTTGTGGGCTGGGCTTCTCCATGAAGTCGCTAAAGGTTTGCCCACGTTATCGCATTGTATGCAGTTTGCTTCTGCTTTTTCACCTTTCCTGCAAGAATACCATCCCAAAATCGAATTCAAGCAAGGCAGGCAGTTGGATTTGGGATTATTCTTTAGAATGATACATGTATATTTGCATAGATTGTATATATTTTAATTTTGCCATATACACATATTCATACAATCCAACATGCAGCGGTGATAATAATAATACTTGGTGCAATTCTATTATGACTTGTGGTGATCCAGATATTAACATTACAAAAGTATTGTCAACACAATTCAACACTTTTTTGATAATTATAATAACGGGGCAAAGGGTTTTGTGCTACCTGCCCCAGAGCCCTGTGTTGAATGGAAAGGACCTCGGCCCTTGTCCTAGAGACGATTCAGTCTGAACCAGTTCTGTTATCCTGAGGCCGCTTTTCTAGAAATTGGGCAAATTAACTGTTCCACCAAAGGGCAACAGCAAATCCTTTGCCTGCTTTGGCAAACTGTCCCAAAAATTGGCCACACCCTGGGCGGAACTGTGTCAAACACCCAATATGTCTCGCTTTCTTTCAATGTGAACTGCTCAACACTCGAATTTTTGAGAGGGCCTGAAGGGCAACAGATTGCAATGCCACAAAAGCCATGAAACAACTACTCCCGAGCGCCCGTTCTCACTTACCAAAAGCAACCCAGCGTGAGCCTTAGTTGGGAGACTGAGACTTTGTCGGCGGTGCGCGTCTGTCATTTCATGGAAACGCCTCAGGTACAGTACATGGCAATGCCCTTGTATTGACCCAATGCAGCCGTATCTCTTGAGGATATCACCCAGACCCGCAAGCACCATTCCTCCTCCTTTACACTGCTCTGCCCTTTGCTTGGGAGAAAAACTCGGTAGCCCAAAACACCCGTTTGGACAGCAAGGATCTGTCAATTCCGACCTGCAAGACGCAAGTACCCCGCTGCCTTTTCCCAAACACACTCCAAACCGCTGCTTGGCCGCACTGCTCAGGGCCCATTCCCCACCCTGTCGGGCAAAGCGCTTCGTCGAAGCGTTGCCGGGGGTGGGTCGTGGTAACTGATCTGAAAATGCACCGGCGGCCCATTCTGGGAGCCTACTTGTACAATACTACAAGAGAGGGGAAAGAGTGACGGCGGAGGAAGAGAGAGCGTCACACAGCGCATTGTGAGGACTTGGAGGGCTTGGAACCAAAGCGAGAAAACCCACGTGTCAGCACTATAAGCGTGTTGATGCGTCCTGAGTCCTCAGTCCTGTGAAACTTACCCAGTGATTTCCGGCATCCGCTAAAGCAGGCAACGAATGGAAACCGCCAGCTAGAAACAAACGGCCCCTTTACCTCTGATATTGGCAACCGGGACCCACCGGGTTAGGTGTGCGCATGTCCAGGAGAAGTCTCCGGCCTAAAGATGCACACGCTTGGAGAGAGATACACTATGCCGAAAAGCGCCCGTGAATGGTGAACAAGGTCCTATTGGTCCTGGGCGTTGCCAAAGCTTCGATGGGGGGCTCCGGGAACGGTGATTTGGCCGTCCCTGGCCCTGGAACGACGTCAGGGCGCCGCGGTGAAGCCGGGATGGAGCCGCCTTCTGTCCGATCGTCGTCCTCATGCTCTGGACGCTGGTAAGAAGAGAGGAGTCTGGAAACCGCCTCCTCAAAGCCCTTCCGGGCTTCGCAATACTTGCCGGCGCAGTCGGGCGCCCGAAACGCATCCGGCGCCAGGAAGCTCGCAGGTACCTCGCTAGCAGCAGGCGCGGTTGGAACTGGCGTGGGAGGCACGGCAAAGGGCGCTGAACTTGAGCTCGGCAAGGACGTTGGCTGCGTTGGCCTGGCTTTGCCTTGAACAGAGCACAGCAAGTCACAAGCGTCCGAGATGTCCATGCGAACCCCCCGGTGTACTACCACAGGCCGGTACTGGCTGTTCCTCGAATGCGCAACCGCGCGATTTGAAAAATGGCGGATGTTCTCGATGAAGCCCTGAATGTGAGCCAAGGAGACTTGAGCCAATTTCTGACTGCAATGCTGTTGAAACGCGTAGGCTGCAAAGCCAGTCATGAATCCTTAGTGGCCAGGGCCAGCAAACAAATAGAACAAGAGCATGACCCCCTACTCAGTAGCTTTTGTTGGGCTTAAAACGGTTCGGGCTTGGCAGGCAAAAGGAAGCGCAAGATACTTGCCAGTTCCGCCTGCAAGGGTCTCTCTAAATCCTGCGGGGTCAAGAAGTTGATGAAGGCATAGCCCACGTTGGTTCTGTTCTGAGTGTCCATGGGCAGGTAAAAAAAGTCATAAGTGCCTTCGTAGCCAGCCGCGTCAATCTCTTGGAGGAGGCTGGCCTGGGAATAGCGATTTGGAATGTTCCGCAGCATGACAGTCGTCTTGGGTCGGTCTGCCTCAGGGGAAGAGCGCCTCCACTTGGGGACAACCCAGTGTTGGATCCAAGGCTTGGAGAAACTTTGGCCGAGCCGGGAATCCCCTGAACCCCCACTTAGGTTCTACATAGGTGGGAGGACGAACTTCAGAGATGCATCTCTTCCCCAGTTTATCTGGGTCCAAGGCAACTTGTTGCTTAAGGTTCCAAAAACTCACGAGTGTCACTACCCCAACCTTTCTGCCCAAACCTGGAAGCTGTGGACCAGGTCCATGCTCTTGGGCACGCTCACCGAGTGGTAGGGCCTAAAGCCTTTCTCAGGCCGACGGCGCCTCGAGTCATTGCTCGCCATGCTTCTCGAGAGAAGCTTGGGCCAAAGGCAGCTGGCGAATGAACTTGTGCATTTCCTAGGCCAAGGCAAGCCCATTTTGCCCAACCCGATGCGGACTTTTTTCGGGAAGACCGCACACCTCAAGGAAACAACTGCCTCATAGGCTCCCAGGGATTCCAAGGAACATAGAACAAGCCTTTGGTGAGCTTCTGCAGACCTCCTTGCCAGCTCTTCAATTTTCTCGCTCTCCCTCAGCGGCAATTGAAACAACACTTCTTTGCGGTTGAGACATGTCGAGACCAAAGGGATGCCCTTCCAACAAACAAGATTGGAAGGCCCAAAGCCAGCAAGCCTCGTCGCCGACCAGATCAAGGTGAAGCTGCCGAGCCTTCCAAGAGCGAGGCATTCGTTGGACTTGTCATGAGCTTGGGGCGCGCAGTTTCTGCAGTTCGATGGTCCAGCCTCGTTGTTTCGAGAGTGCTGCAAAGCTTTAAACCTGCCCCAACGCCTGTGCACAAATCTTGAACAGCATCAACACCTAACTAGGGTTGATCAATTGCTGCCCCAAAGAACACGGTCCAGGCTGGAAGAGCCTGAAATCGCATCCCTATCGCCCGGGCCCCCGACAAGCGGTCGGCCCGACAATCGTCAAATGCTACCCAACGAGAGTTTGAAGGCACCACAAGAAGCCAGACGTGGCGGATGCAGTTTCGCTTCAAACTTGGGTCACCAGGCCCCGAGTGTTTCCCAAGTTGAGACTTCTGCCCCAACAGCAAGAATAACGCACCGACACGTTTGCTAGGGGCCAGCAAAATCGGGCCATACACGCTTTAGTTACATTTAGAGGCATGGATGCGTACGGACAAGAGCAGCACCGCAATAATTCTCATCATGCCCCCTCCCAAAGAAACGGAAAGGGTTTCCTTCTGGTTTCCTTTTGCCCGCATTCCGAGCGGGTCCCAAATTGCCGGATCACAGCATCTCTTGGGGGCCGGCTTTCGCGCCTTGAGCTGCACAGGAGGGCGATGCGTGCCGCGCGCCAGCTCCTGCAACAAGTCATGTGCCGTTAGCTTTCAAACGTCGCCTCAACGGCGGCTTGCAACATGTGAGGCACATCCATGCCCAGAAAGTGCAAACAGGAATGACAGGCAACATGATTCAAGACCCACACCTCATATACGCAATGGACCAATCCTTAGACATCGCAGACCATGTACAGCTAGCCTAATGAAGTAACACAACACTCTGCACATGGTGAGCCTGACGGGCAAGGCAATGTGCCCAAACTATGTCTGAATGATTATGGCTTTGTCAGCCAGCCTTGGGATGCATAGGTGGCGGCGAGTGGACTTTGCTGCAAGTCCGCTGTTGGGAACATGCAGCTGCAACCCCAACCAGCATCTTGGGAGTACCCTCTCAATCCCCAGTCAGCATCTGGGCAAGTGACGTCAATGAAGAATGTTGGAATGAGAACTAAGGGGGTGATGAGAGCTTAAAAAAAGAGTACAGAGATGTTGGCCATTCAACAAGCATTGGTATGGCACAGTAATTTTGGAGAGTGTGACATGTTAAAACTGAAGCGCATGACGTGTTCGGCGTAAAGATCTTGGTCCAAGGAGCCTAGCATGTTCACACCCCGGGACACATCAACTGCTTTTAGGGGCCTGGCGATGGTTCTGATAGGTTTATGTTGCTTCACCGTTGGGCATGTAGCCAGAAGCATTGCCAAGTAATTGCCGAGATTTCACGACGTGTGAGGAAGGTGGGTGCTGCTGCAGTCCGCCTTGTGCACCCTTAATTAGGATGCGGCCAGATATGCCAAAACACACATGTCTATCATGAATCTAGTAGCCCCTGGAAGTTGCTGATGCCTGGTCTCCGGCAATCTTACAATCAGCATACCAAGGGTTTGGTAGAGCTTCTCCTTAGTTGCGCTTCGTTTGCCATATGTCACAACGTTGCATTTATCCAGTGATGTCAACGTTATGGTGGCGATCCTGTAGACCCTTTCCCAAACATGCCACATGTGCTTTGTCTTCGCGATATCTGAATCGAATGGTTGAATGGTATTCTGTCTCCCCGTACAGGCCAAAACAACTCTGTGCAAACCTTGGAGACTTTGGACGCGCCATTTGCAGAGCCTTCCTGTTGAACCGAATGCGTCCCAACAGGTCCACAGCTTGCAGAAACACAAGCAACGTAGGAGAAAAAGGGGACGCAGGTTGCTGGTTTTGGCTGCTCTACGATTAACCCGACCATGCCAACAGTCCTAAACCAAGCTTCAACCCGGAACGGAACCAGCCCTACAACCTGGCATGTGGAACTTTGAACTCAAAGAGGATTGCCTTCTTGCCACGCAAGCCTGTAGGAATCAATGGCTCGATAAACACGCCCTGTCGTGCTGGCCGATATGTTCTCCCCAGCCCAGAAATAAACTGGAAAATCGAGTGGAAAAGGGAGCAAAGGGCCTCCACCACCGCCGCCACGTTGGCATCGAGGCGCTCAGCGGCAGGCAGGCTGCGCACGGCCAGCACGGCTAGGCGATTGCTCTTGACCTCCAGGCTGGGAGGATCTGTGTAGGGGTTGGGCTGGGATTTAGACCGTGCCCGGTGCTTCAAATGGAACATGGCCTGATCCTTCACCCGAGCCGCAAAAGGCACCGGATGGTCCTCGAAGTCGCCTCAAAACGGCGGGAATATGCCGGAATCAAACAAACCCCTGAGCCACAACTAGCCCTGCCACCCAAAAAACCTCACCACCCTCCTCACCCTCATGGTGCTTCCACCCGCTTTTGAAAGACTGCATTGAAAGGAAAACCAAACGGGCGCACGGATACACCTAGCCACGTGCCACAGTTCTCAACATCCGGATCCCATCAACCAATGGCACCCATGGCCCCCAAACCGATGCCCTTCTTTTTCCTTTGCCAAAAGGAGTCAAAGGCTCAGATTCGGACTCCCGGGTTAGATGCCTCGAGGCCATCTGCCAGGGGGAAGTGGTCCAGCGCCGCGAAGACCAGCCGCGGCAGCTGGCGCTGCAGCTCCGAGGCCACGTGGCTCCGCAGGCCCTGGCCGAGTCGCAGAAGCGAAAACCTTCGTTGGGTGTTCATCGGCCCAAATTGGTCTTGCGAGATTTATATACGCACAAAACCAATATACAGTGTACAAATAGATACAACCCAACGGAATGGTTTTAATGAACACTCAACGTTCTTTTTACCTTGGATCTATGTTGGAGGGACAGCACTTCAGTCCAAACTCCTGTCTGCACGCAAAGCGGGAAACGCGAGTCGACTGTCGCCGGATTTTTGCCAAAGGCTGCTTGTTTTTCAAAAGCGGCCCAGCCTGTGAGAGCGCCATGGTCACGGAACAGGGGGCCGGACCCCGCGAATCACATGGGTCTCCCGGGCGGTCTCCCGCGCGGGTGGTGGCCGAAGTGCGCTCTGGTGGACATCTGGGCGTTGCTGCCATCTACATGCACTGCCTGATCCCCCTGGCCACCAAATCTGCTCTCTTGGTGCCTCAAAAGTGTCAAGGCCATGTGGGTTTGAGCTTGTGCTGAAAAGCCAAAGCTGCGCGGTTCTAGCCGGCTCATGTGACGGGTTGGCCCATTCTGGCCCAAGCAAGTCTCAATTCCAGTCCGAGGCTAAACTACCCAACTATGGCTTGCGGGCTGTCCTGAAGTGGAGGCGGTCACCCTGAAGAGCCAACTCTTCCAGCACCGCCCCGGTAGCGAGTCGCTCCTCCAGCGCGGGTGACCTAAGTAAAACGCAGAGGAAAAACATTGGTCAATGAATCAAGGTTCCTCCAGGATTGCAGGCTAGACTTCCTAGATCCTTGCCCCCTTGATTTCAGACGTGCGCCGCTGCATCCTGTTGCTTGCTGCCTTTTCCCAAATGCAGAAGGTCAAGTGAATGTGGCTTCTTTCGAGCAACACGGAGATGCTCCATCGACAACAAATGATGAGGGGAACACTTTGGAACAAAAGGAAAGACAAACAACAACTGTTACTTGGAACGGGGTGCCCGAAGTGACTAGCCAAATTCCAAGTCATTGCAGTTTTAACAAAAACTGGTGCTACTATGTGCTACTCCCCAACTGGCAAGGAGCAAAAAACGGCAACGAGGGACAAGTCCAACACATCAAGTCAACGCCATTTGTGCATTCAACTTTGCATTTGCATCTGGGGAGGGAAGCACAGGGATAGAAACAGCAAACCACTCTCCCACCGCATTGTTCCCCTTGTTACATACGCAGATCAATATCAACATATCAAACTTATTTGGAAAGAAGCCAACGGTCCCCGTGGTGCTGGATGCCAAGGTCTAAGGTGACTGCCTGGGCCGCCCTGACGTAAGCTCCAAGCCTTTCCGCACCAGAATGCCACCCTTGTCCGCACCTCGACATGACGGCCATACAGCTAAGCTCTTCCGTGTTTGGTGCTTCGTTGTTGCTCCCGGGGGCCCATCCAAAGCAATTTGTTGTCACCAGGAAAGGCCATCCCACGCTGCAGGAAAACGGTTCATGCGCAAACAGTTGGACGCTCTTCCTCGATCAAAGCAAGATGCATGAAACAACAGTGGTGAACACCTTCAACGGATTGTGCAGTATTCGGATCATGCCGCGGCCGCAGTCCTGGGGCTTCGCACCACCGACCACCTGGCCAGGGGCATCCAAAGCACAAGGCCTTCAGCTTGGAGGTTAGGGGCGCCTTCCAACTTGATGAGTTCAAGTTGAGAACGCGGGGTTCACATCACCAAACGGTACAATCCAATCGATTCTATTTGTGCAAAGCGGTTTTTGGATTGCACGGGATTTTGAGGTGCTTTGTTTTAATGCGAGCACTCATTCAGGTGCCTCAGTCCGGTGCTACTTTTGGGTATGCGATAGCACATGGCTTTGATTTGGCAATGTTGCAATGGCGATTATTCGTGGCGGACAGCTGTGCTTCGTAGCAGGCGCAGTGAGGGTCACGCATTGAATGTTGGCGACAGGCACAACACTTAGAGCACAAAGCGAGGATTTAGCGCCAAGCGCAGACCCTGGAGCACGCGTCGATGTGAATAGAGGCGTAGCACTTCGGAGCATGGAGCGCAGATGTCCCGGCAGGCGCAGCAGTTTGGAGCTTTGGCGCATAGTGGCATGGAGTGCACTCAGATCCCGCGGGAAGCGCTAGTCTTTGCGATCAAAGAATGGGTGTGAGGGTGAACGAATGGCCAAGCGTGTGAAAGAGATAAGTAAGCAAAAGAGTCAGTGAAAGAGTGTGCAATACTGAGTTTGAGTGAGTGCAAGCGTGAAAGTGGATGATTGCGTGATTGAGTGAGGTGAGGGGAGGGGGGGAGTGTGCAGGGTGGGTTTGCACACTTTGGGGGACCTGCTGAACAGAAAAGGCAAAGGATATAACTGAACCACAGTGACCTCGCGACAAATTGCACAAGGGATTCGGCAACGCAGGGGTCTGCCAGCATGTCTTCATATGATTTTATCCCGCCTCCCACCGGGCCATCAAATGCTCGACGCTAGTCGAGGGCGACTTGGGCCATGTCACTTGGATACTCGGCACGTGAGTGACTTCGCCAGTTGGGAAATGACTGGGCCTCTGCGAATGAGAAAGACTGTGAAATTGTGCTTGGCAGGGTGGTCTTTGGTTCAAAGAGCCTGCAAGAACGTCAACTACGACGAAACTACGATTGACTGTGCTATCGCCTCCGGAACTTCCGGAGAAGCGCTGAATTTTGTGCCTCTCCACTGGGCATTATGGGCATTCTCCGAGCCTGACTCCAAATGCCGGACGCATCTCTTCACATGATCAGCCTCCCCTGCGTCTTGCGCAGGTTGTGCGCCCAACAACCGCTAATGTTGAACAAAGCACAGCAGCAGAGTCAAACTTCCGGCTTTGCAAAACACATCCGCCCTCTGCAAGGGATCTTGCGGTCACCCTTTTCCGACCATTATTGCGCTGGTGCGGTAGTTGCTGGCTGGCTGCCTGATCAAGAGCTGGTGTTACGCATGTGCATTACCTGAGGCGCCTGGTCAATGAATCCAGTTATTTGCAGCAGACCTGAGCAAACTTCTTGGGGGCTTGATTTTCCCCTGAACAAATCCAAAGGTGCACCCATCAGCTCCAAGAGCTAACAGTTAAACATGGAGCGTCTTACGCCACAAAAGTGTGCCACAACAGGCAACCAGCCAGCCCGCACGCGGAAAGACTAAGCCAGGGCAAGGTTCTGCCCGGCTCGGGGGTGGCTCCATGGCCTGGGCGCATGCCTCCGGAAGATTCGGCCGAGGTCTCAAATCGGACGGATTTCGCTCCGGCCATGTCCTCAAGAACTTGCGGCCCGGCGTCAATTCCGACTCATCTCAGCGGATCCCCGTGCAGTTTGGGCCTGGGCGATGTGGTTGGCCGATTGATCTTGGCCAGATCTGAGAATCATACTGGTTGGTGTGTGATGGTGTGCGTGTGTTACCGGCAGTCGCTTCGGCTTGGCCAGTCAAAGGCGGGCCTTTCATCCAGATAGACTTCGCAGGGCAGAGTCTCAGTCGGTCTAAGGTGGGTCGCAGATTCTATGCAGCCCAGGGGCAATACCCGTTGACGCACAAGAAGCCACAGCGCCTAAGGATCAAACATGCAGATTGCACACGGCCTGTGAACCCTCTGCCAGTTGACCACAAACGTCCTGGAGATCAATGTTTCAACCGGCAACCCCAAAAAAAAAACGAAAAAAACGGCCATCCCCAGCCCAAAGAAGCCAGAGCGCTGGCAAAGCGAGGGCCCGTCGCTGCGCTTCCATTCCTTGCCAACATGGCATGCACGGAAGCTCACAACAGTTTGCCAGGTGCCATGCTCTTGGGGGGGGCTGGGCATGGGGGAGGGGGGGGGGGAATCAAAAACCGAAGTCAACCTGCCGCCGCCGTGGACCATTTTGAAAGCCGCAACTGGCCACATGTTCACAGCAGTCTTCAAACAGGGCGATTTGCTCAAGTGGCGACACATTTGGCGCCGACACTCGAAAAGCCAGCTCTTTGTCCAGTCACCGGGAACGCAAGGGTTCTGCTATTTCCTACCAATCCTTGGGAAGGAGGATGGAACAGTGATCATGTAAAGCATGATGATTGTCATCCTGTGCTCACCATACCTGACCCGGGGCGCAAGCCTGCTCAGTCATGACCTCATCAATCTCTTTCTGCCAGTCCTCCGGAGACGCCGCAGGTTGAGCCCTCTCCGATTCATCAGGGCTATGCTCTCGCACAGCTTGCAGCACGTCACGCACAGCGACACTGATGTAAAGCTGCCCAAGAAGGAGACAATCGCAGCAAGCAAATGCAGTACACGAATCACATACAACATAAACTACCTACACCCTGAGAGCACTCCAGGGGGCATTGCAGGGCTTCGCTTTTACCACAAGAAAACTGAAAGGGGCAACCAGAGCCGAGCCTCTTGCTCCGGTTTCGCGAAGGTAAACACTGCCAGGCCAGCAAAGAGGAGAGCACCCAGGAGGCCCACTTGGGCCATCCTGCCGCACAGATCTACGGGAACCAACACTGGCTGCTGCTTTTGTTTGCTCATGCTCTGACAGCTGCTCTGAGGGGCGATCAAAGCGGTTTTACGCGCCAGGAACCGGCGTCCCCCTTTCTGCAAGGGCAAGAAACTTTGAGCCCGGCACCCGGAGGTGTCCAGCTGGCCGGCCGCCTCAAGACATGAGGTCAGAGGGGCCTGGTCCCAGCACCCATAGTCTTTGTGAGGATCTTGCTCTCCGAAAGAATGCTAACATGAAATCACCCATTTTGCCGGGTCGCCCCATGTTTGGACAGCATGTTGCTTCCTTTGAGCACGGGGGTGGCGCTGGGCTGGGTTCATGAATCCGGACTTCCATTAGCAAGCTTTTCAGAAGGAAGCCTCGAGTCTCAAGAGAGCACCCCAACGATGCCCGCATTGCAGTGCATTCGGGTTAATTCGGGGGCCTTGCCCAAATGGAACTCACGATGCATGTACAAGGTGCACATGGGCATGCCCCAAATAAAGGAAAGTCATCCGTTTGTCAAATGGGGCCCAGGCTCTCGCTGCCTGCGGCGCGATCACTAACACGGAGAGCCTCACACGTGGCAGGGAAGGCATGTCGCGCACAACCAAAACTGAAGGCACTGCCAAGCCAAAGCCCATCAGTCTGCCCCCTGGGCAGAATGCAAGTTGTTTACCCACTGGCCAGCCGCAACATTCCGGGCCGCTCACCCACACCTCAGCCCCGCGCGCTGCACGAGCAGGCGGCAGAACAAAGGATGCAGCGCTCCTTGGCGAGAGGGTGGAGTTTCCCCTCTCCGGCCCCTGGAAAATGCCAAAGAAGCATATCCACTTCCTTCCCATTCTTTGTTGCCGAATGCTATAGGTGGTGAGTGGCTGCACCCTTTTGTGTCACCATTGCGCCCCTCCATCTCAATCTCCATCTCTTTATCTATTTATCTATCTATCTATCTATCATATCTATCTATCTATCTATCTATCTATCTATCTATCTATCTATCTATCTATGTATCTTGCTTTCTTTCTCTATCTCTCTCTGTAGGCGAAGGCGCCTGTCAAACACGCACTCTTCATCCCACACAGCTCGCGGGAGCAAGCCAACATAGGGGATGACTTGTGGCATGGTTTTTCAAACAGCGAAAAGGAGCCAAGCTTTCGCAGGCATCCAGGCTTGCGGCGCAACATTTCCTCCCCATTCGCGCCATGCCCTGCCCCAGCCTTCCCAGATGCCAAGTCTCCAAGCAAAGCATGCTAGCACCGCCGCCGCAGCCCGAACCATGCGCTGGCGCTGGCGCATGCTGAAACTTCGCACCTTTCACTTGGAGAACCCGCAAAGCCAAAGCCAAGGTAGCAATTGTAGGCTGATGGATTCGATGGATGGGTTGGTTTACCTTTGCAGCCTTGGCAAATGGGCCGCTGGCTGTCCTTTCTGCGGTGCTTGTGTGCCCTTCTCTTGGCCCCCATGTGTTCGCACCATGAAGGGACAAATGCCATGCCCCCACATGGGAGGTGACAGCTGAACGCACAGGTCGCCAACATATCCGAATGACACCTTACGTGTTGGTGCACACGGCAGTATTCTCGGCATGGCAAGACAGCTGCCCACACACTCCCATTCTACCCCTGGACATCCCTCCTCTTGCAAACATCTGCGCGCTTTTTGGGCAGCACTGAGAACTAAAGGACTTCGGTGAAGGGCGGAAGATTGGCGGAAGATGTTGCAGGCGTCCGTTGAGCCATAGGACTGGCAATTCAACTGGTGATCATGGAAACTAATTAGCAATCGTGGGCCACACGGCCATCATTCCAAGTCTTGTGCCTGTTGGCTCAACCTCTGCATTGCCAGGGCTTGGCAACCAATGGATTCTCATGGATTCTCTCTGCCAGGCCGCAAGTCGGTGAATGGCAAAAAATCACCGAGGCCCTGCAGGCTTCGTCACAGACTCGGCTTCGCCTTGCCGAGGTCGTCCTCGCCTGGGCCATGAAGCTGCGAGGTTCAACGGCAACTATCGTGAATTGAAAATAACGTGACCCTGACTGGCATCTTTGAAATAGTTGGACTCGTAAATTCGACACATTGCCCATTTCCTGATGGCCAAAGCCCTGGTTTGGAGCACCCATGACCCACAAAGGCATCATCTTACCTCCAAACGGACAGCAAAAAGAAAACGCCTACCAGCTTGAATCCCTTAAGGCACAATACTCAACGAGCATTCAGACATCTAGGGCCAAGCCTTGCTGAACATACAACCGTCAGGTGCCCAGCCTATCTCTCTGAGGTGCGCGATGCTGTGAGTGATCTTGTGCTCCAAACGATGCGCATCACCTAAGCTTGGCCTGCTTCTCATTCACAGCCATGGGGCAAACCTTACAAGACCTGTCGGAGTCAGAGCCTGATGGTTCCCTGTTTGTCTTTTCTGCCTGTGAGCTTGTGGGGAGGGGCTCTATTTATGGCAACCCCTCGAAACCGTCAATCTCATGCTTCCAATCTGGCCCCTTCGTGGTCAATCCTCTTCCAGTCTGGCAGCCTGGCAGGTGTCAAAAGTAGACATAATTACCCTTCAAACAGCCAAGGTCATAAGCTGAGCTCATTGTAAAGAGCTTATAGCGGGCTCAGAAATGTCTGGGAGGCAGCCGGCAGGCCCTGAAACAGCAGGGATCCCTCGGAACAAGTCAAGGAATGAGGTCAACACGGAGCTCCATGAGTTTTGCACCACTCAAGACACACCCAGGTCCACGATCGCTCAGTCAATCAGACGCGTTTGGCTTCCTCTCAAGCTGAGCCGAGGCCACCCTCGGTGATGATTCCCATCTCCGTGAGCTGCTCAACCTCCTCAAGCTGCAAATGCAGCAGCTTTGCCTCGAGGTGGGTGGATTGACCCAACACCCTGCCGGTTTTGGGGCTTCAATTGAAATAAAGAAGTGGGTTCAACTGCAGGATTAGTCAATCTGAATCATGCCGAGAACAAACTCTGTCTCACGCACATCATGTCAACATGGGCTTCTGCCGGGTTTGGATTCAAAGGTTTCACTCCTACCTGGAATGCTGCCTCGGGGGCTGCAGGCCTCCAGCAACCCCGGCCCGCCAGAATGGGCAACAAATCAGCGTACCGGGGTCATCATGGCAGCTTTTCCACTTGCATCGCTACTGCTCCCGCACGGACATGATCAACACGGAAGGCTTACACGGCAACATGCAAGGTCTCTGGGCATGAGTGGAGCTTGGCATCGGCATGAAAGCCTGCGTCGCTGTGGCCTTCCTCCGCCCCCTCGCCCCACCCGACAAACAAACACCCAAAGCCACGGCAGAAGGGCAACCTGTCAACCAATGATGCGCATCCGTCACCGTGCCCCAGGACAGCCGCAAAGCTGAGGCTGCTGCGGCCACCATTTTCGCCCTCACCATGGAGACAAACCTGGGATGAGATCACCAGTCCCCCGGGTAGGGCAAAACATGCTGCCACAAGCATGACGGGGGAAGAAATGATAGCGTGTAAGTTTGCACTCCGAAATTCCGGCCCGGCCTGATCGGCATGTCTTCCAGCAAGAGCCGGGCTTGCTCAATGTGCTCAGAGTTCTCTTTGTGGAGGGCCTGCGAGCTGCTGATCCTGCCTGGCAAGCCTCATCCCCGCCATGCTTGCTGCTACCAAAACCACGCCCAACTCGCCAATGAACACAAGGATCAAGCAGGTTGCAAAGGACTGCGGTCGAGTGTTGCCATCCAAAGGCCGCCTATTCAATGCTCTGTTGCCTTTTTGAGAACCTCCTGTACAACTCTATGTGTGCATTGCGTTGGAGCCAAGCACTAACAGGACCACCAAGAAGCGATCTAATCTACAAAATGCCTACTGACTGAACAATGCCCAACAGGCGAAACGGTTTGACAGTTTCAAGCCATCCCGGAGCGCCGTGCTGCCAAGCATCAATCTCCTCCGGAGTGTCTGCAGTCCTGAGCTGCAGTCTCACAGCGTACAAACACCGGGTGTGGCAAACGCGCACCGGCTCACTAAGTGGGTTTAGCGTTGTGCCCTTGACAAACCAAACTCTGCAACTCTGGCCATGCCCGAGACAGCGGCAACAAAGGCGGCCTTGTCGTCTCCCGATTCCTCCGGATGCCCCCTCGCAGGCTCCGCTGTTGCCCGACAGGAAGTTCTCATTGATTGCTGTGGGCTCCTTGTGGGGGGTTCTTGTGGGCTCCTCTGTGTCTAGGGTCCCTGAGCGCTGGCGAGCCGTGCGGGGCCAATGTCCCTTCGATGTGCTGCGATGGAGCCGACCCTGACAGCCGGAAAGCCGCGACAACCCAGCTGACAAACCAAACGCTTCCAAAAGGAGGCCGGGCAAGACATTGCTTTGGTTCATCGACATGGAGTTCCGGCCAAGCCAGTTGCTTTGGTGGGGATAGACTTTGGCTCTCAAAGGGTGGCTTTCTTGCCAGCGCTGCTATTCAAAAGGCTTTGGAGAGCTACAACGAGGCATGGGCTGACTCCGCCTTGCTCAACGGACCGGGCCCCAAGACACAGCATGTCCCCGGGACCATGACTGGCAGTGGATCAAATGGCGTAAGGCTGAGCTATGGGCATGCAGGACAAATCCTGTTTGTTGAAAAGGAGGCACAGCTTTGACACGAGTGGGCCGTCCGACCAACGGAACGGCGCTTCCTGTGCGGTCGAGCATCTTATCAGATCCAAACCATTTCTGCACCTCTTCCATGGCTCTCTCATGGGCGCTGATGTACAACAGGACAGCGCAAACAGCACCTGGCTTTGCGACGCCCATAAACTGCCATTGAAGGCTTGAAAGCATGCGGCAGCGCGGCCTCTTTCTCGAACAACTCTAAACAAGGCTTTGCTGTTGTTTTCGTTCTGCAGCTAAACCCATACACACGCAGACTCCATTTGGCGGGCTTTGCTGATGCCTGGCATGCAAGCGCTCACCCCCCCCCCCCCCCGCCGGACGTGTTTCTAAATCAATCCATCCTGTCAATCAATTTATTTGGCGAAGTGATTTATATGGTACCCCAAACGACTCGTTTTGGGAATGTGCAACAAAGTCACCATTGCGAATCGGGGTCAGAACCGGACCTCCCCAAGCGTTCAGTAGTCTGGCATCGATTTATTTTTGCTTCATGTAAGCTCAGGGCTGCTTAGTGTTGGTAAACTACTGGTTGAGTACTGCGTTGTGCTCGTTGAGATTGCTAGCTCAATGGTGTTCAGATTGCTTGAGGGAACAACTGCCAGGGCCATGCAATCTCCTGGAAATTTGGTGAGCGTCTATCCTTAGCGAAAAAAACGAAGAGTTTGGCTCTTTGGGACCTCTTTTGCAGGACAAATTGTGTTGACACGACAACAAACAATACATTCCGGAATCACGTGCGCAAGATGCTACAAAGTAGCCCTCTTTGGCTGCATGAATCCCTTACTTTCTAGCCATCAAACACTCAGCTGCTAAGTCACTGAATCTCACATATAGTGGCACAGGCCAAACCACTCGTTGCAGCCTCTCTTGCCCAGGAAACCCGCCGTGCCCCAAAAAGGCAAAGAAAAAGCCGGCCACTCCGTGCAACGCCGTCAAGGCGCGCTCATGGAGGTCCGCCTGACCCAACAGGTTCGCGAAGCTGTACCTCTCCCCTGGCGGGCTGCAGATCCAAGGCTTGACGAACGGACTCTGGAGACTTGCTGGCAAGTTGGACGGAACCAACGCAGTGCAAGCGCAAGTCAGATGTTCGGGGCAATGTTCCTCAAAGGTGGTCCTGCTTAGGAGAAATCACCTTTAAGTTTGAGCCACGGAGATAGGATGCAGGGCTCAAGTCAGCAGCAAAAACTAACTCCTTCCAGGTTGCCCATTCAGCCCTTTTTTGGGTAGGCCGGGAAACTAAAAGCAGCCAGTCCAAACAAACTCTCAAAATCTGCCACGTTCAATCCAGGCATGAGCCTGGGTCCACACTGGAATCCTTGTGACCCATTGTGGGGTCACTGTGGGCACTCCTAGATCCCGCTTACTGGATCCCGCTTAATGGACGAAGCATCCTGAAGCTC